ACACACACACACACACACACACACACACACACACACACACACACACACACACACACACACACACACACACACACAAGCTGTTATTTTGTGGCATGCAGAAGACACTGGAGTTCGTCTCCTCTGTGTGTCAAGTTAGTTGAGGCTGATTTAAAGACGACCTCATTTCTTTCGTTAACTGAACAATCCAGATGTGTGTTGTGGGGTCCAGGTAGTCCAGAGCACAAAGCCTGGACCCTGGATCCTGAAATGTGTGAGTGTGTGAGCATGTGAAGCCCAGGTAAAGGTTGCCCCTACCTCATCCTGTGTTTCAGGTCGTATTGATCACCTAATTCAGATAAAGGATTCCCCCAGTGCCAGAGGCAGAGACGAGCTGGTCACTCAATGTAAGATAGAAACATACGGCCGCTGCAGGACCTTGGTGTCACACCTGGAATTGTTCCATCCAACCATCCTGTTCTGTTTTTAGTTCAGTTTAGCTGCTTGTGTTACTCATCAACAGACATTTTATCTGTCGATTCATCCCACATCTGCTCCTGGTTGCCTTTTAAATGAAGGTTGACCAAAGGTTTTCTTTAGCAAAGTCAAAAACCAAAATATACTTTTAATTTCTTAGAATAATTACTTGCTTGGTTTAGAGAAGTCAGACCTCCTTCACTGTTATTTCCAGATTATTCCACACGCTGTCAGCCTGCAAGTCTGAACCAAACATGAAGCAACAATTAAAACTTTCTCTGATCACATTAAAAATTATTATTACATGCATTGACATTAGTTGGCTTTAGTCTGACTTTATAAATCAGAAGAGTACAAATAACAAGAAAATAGCTGAAGAAATGTGGAAATATGTCGATACTGCCTGGAACGTTGTTTTGTGTTTATTTTATTCATTTTCAATTAAAAACAAAAATTTCAATACAAAAAAAAAACACAAATCTTTGTAACAACCTGAGCTTCATGAACCGTGTAAAACAGGCCTATATCAAAAGAAGAGGTGAAACTACTGCTTCAGAGTGAGCTCCGTGGTAACCACTGTCTGTCACTCCCTGACAGCCAAGTTAATGACAGGCAGACAGGAGTGCAAATGTTAAAATAAACCTCAACAGGTCCAGTGTGAAAACTATAGGTCTGAAAGATTCTCCATCCAGTTTTTATATTTCCACATTGTTTTACATGGACAACTTTAAAAAGGAATACAGGGTGAAACAAGATAAAAAACTATCTATATTGTCATTTATATTATCACAAAATGATTTGTTTTAAAAGATTTGCACATTTTAGTTGAATCTAAAATCCTCAATTTGTGGCGAAATCAGTAAAATCGTTTAAATTAAACTATTATACAATCATTAGGGTCAGGGATTCTTCCTCATCTTCCTTCTGCAGGAAATTTAAACAAGTTCAAATAAATTTGGAAAAACGTAATTTCTCCAAAAATATTACAATTGTTGAAAATCGGTCTGAGTTTTGTTTGCTAAGCCACTTAGAAATAATTAAATTAGAATATAATTAAGTCCCATAGTGTCAAACAGTCAGACTACATTTGGACTGCAACAAAGGTTTTTACTTGTTTTCTCTTTTTTCTTCACACAATTTCATTTGAAAGTCATATTCAAGATTGTTGCGCAAATTTTGCAATTTATTTACAAGTACACCCTGTATGTAATCACTAGTTCAGTGTGATTCAAGTAAAAATCTGTCTTTTTTTTCACCATCAGTCAGAACCCAGAGAAACATCCCTGAGCTGTTTTTACTACTTCACCTCTTTCTCTTTAGCCTGAACATATCAACATAAAGCTTTAATTGTGTGATGAAAAGGTTAATAACTATAGAAAACTTTAAAGAAACATACTTTTTGAAAAATCTTTAACAGATCTCAGAACGTTCTTTCTTTGTGTTTTGATGTTAATGTATGTACCATTGGTGGTAGATATTTCAGAGTTCCTATGAATCATAATTGAAGCTGAAAACATAAAACTATTTTTTAGAAACTAATTAAGTATTGGCAAGTTTATGGAATATAGACTTAGAACATTTTGAGTCTGAATGTTGATAAAAACTCAGTGCAGCTTTTATTATGTGAACAATCTTAAGCAAATTTCTTTTTTCCCCTATCACCATTGCAGTTCATTAAAACTGATGTCCATATTCTTTGAACTCATGCCTTTCTGTTGTGTTTTATAATTAGTATTTTTTTTTTTTTTTGCTTTATTGCAATTCCACGAGCCAAGCCCTGCAGGTGGTCTGTAGTCTGGAACCTAAACAAACAGATAAAAACTTTGCTGAAGCTACATATATCCTTTGAATTTTATTCTGAGACTTAGTGTAAGTGTGCATTGTGAATGCATGTGTGTATGTGTGTGTGTCTGCATGACAACTCTGAAAATTTTAGAAAATGTAACCTAATGCTGAACAATCTTAACTCAATCAAGAAATTATCATCTGTACATGAAATAAACGAGTTAACTGAAGCCAAGAGATGATCTTTGGTCTGATCTTTGGTCTGAGCGCTGATCTTTGTTCTGATCTTTGGTCTGAGCTCTGATCTTTGGTCTGATCTGTGTTCTGATCTTTGATCTGATCTATGGTCTGATCTATGATCTGATCTTTGGTCTGATCTTTGGTCTGATCTTTGGTCTGACCTTTGGTCTGATCTATGGTCTGATCTTTGGTCTGATCTCTGATCTATGGTCTGATCTATGATCTGATCTTTGGTCTGATCTTTGGTCTGATCTTTGGTCTGGTCTTTGGTCTGATCTTTGGTCTGACCTTTGGCCTGATCTTTGATCTGATCTATGGTCTGATCTATGATCTGATCTTTGGTCTGATCTTTGGTCTGATCTTTGGTCTGATCCTTGGTCTGATCTTTGGTCTGATCTTTGATCTGATCTATGGTCTGATCTTTGATCTGATCTATGGTCTGATCTATGGTCTGATCTATGGTTTGATCTTTGGTCTGGTCTTTGGTCTGATCCTTGGTCTGATCTTTGGTCTGATCTTTGATCTGATCTATGGTCTGATCTTTGATCTGATCTATTGTCTGATCTTTGGTCTGATCTTTGGTCTGATCTTTGGTCTGATCTATGGTCTGATCTATGGTTTGATCTTTGATTTGATCTATGGTCTGATCTTTGGTCTAATCTTTGGTCTGATCTTTGGTCTGATCTATGGTCTGATCTATGGTCTGATCTTTGATCTGATCTATGGTCTGATCTTTGGTCTAATCTTTGGTCTGATCTTTGGTCTGATCTATGGTCTGATCTATGGTTTGATCTTTGGTCTGATCTATGGTTTGATCTTTGGTCTGATCTATGGTCTGATCTATGGTCTGATCTCTGGTCTATGGTCTGATCTATGGTCTGATCTTTGGTCTGATCTATGGTCTGATCTATGGTCTGATCGTTGGTCTGATCTTTGGTCTGGTCTTTGGTCTGATCTTTGGTCTGATCTATGGTCTGATCTTTGGTCTGATCTTTGAGCTGATTTTTCACTGATCAATGGAAATGAGCGAATCAGAAAGCTTTGTTTTGTTTGTGTCTCTGGACCTGATTGGGCTCACTCCTCACTGTCCAGATGGAATAGATGGACACAGGACAATGGGAGACAAGGTGGGCCTGGCTGGCAAAAGGGACATGGGTCCAGAGGAAGACTTCAGAACAGGTCAGTCCAACACACAAATGTTCCTGACTCTGCTCTGAGAATGCATTTGGTTCTTTTGGCCACTTCCCAGATTTGGTCACCATAGGAAGTTGGAGTGACAGGTAAACAGAGAGCTTCACCTTACAGCTCATCATCAACACAGAGTTCATAATACTGCTGAATTCACATCCATCTCTCTGTCAATCTCATGCTCCATTCTTCCCTCCATCATGCAGAAAACACTGACGTATCTAAACTCTTCCTTCAGAAACACCTGGTGCACAACATGTCATTCTTGTTTCTCTTCACCCGTCACTGGGTCAAAATATTTGAGCATTAAAATCAAGCTTTCTAAATTAACATGTTACCCTACATTTTCTGTCATATTTATTCTTTGGTTAAATCTGAAACATTTTTAGAGCATGGGTGATTATTAATTTGTGTAAATTCACAAAAATGCACAATCTTCTGAACTTTTATTGCTGACATGAGTTTGAAACAGCATACTGTATGTTCTTTCCAGCTCCTGCTGTGGCTTCAGTTGGCAACCAGGAGTCACTGTTAGCCAGACTGAAGGATGGAGTTAAAGCTTTGCATGTTTTCAAAACAATTAGAAGAGCCTCAAAGCTTCATGAGGTTTCAGCATATCACTATTAGACAAGTGTCACGGCAAGAAAACCAGAATACAGCTCACAGAGAGGATTTAGGCAGAGGCAGAAACCATGACTACAACCACTAAGAAGCTGCAGTTTGACACAATAAACTTAAAAAAAGAAGGATTGTGCAACAGGAACAAAACAAACCGAGAAATACAAGAGACTAAAGAGCAGATGATAACCCAGAATAACAGAAAACATAATAAAAATAACAAAAACTCAGAATCATCACATTTTGGGACTTTGTGTAGCTGGAAATGCCTCAGCCTCAAACCATTGTCCTCCAAACAGCCCAGTTTGGTAGAAGTGCTGCCGGTTCACCTCTATGTATGGTGTGTGCACCATTTATGGGCAGGGATGGCAAATGTATAGCACATGCAAATAAAGAAAACCACTCTGGATCTGAAAATTCAAGATGGCCACTACAGCTAATTCCAAATGGCTTAAATTCAGCTGTTTTAAGAAATACTGAGCTGAAATTTTATGTGAGAATAAGAGTAAGAATAAGAATGGTCCAAGCAAACAAGCTGAATGTTAGGCACAACTTATTATTCTGTCATTTTTAGACATACAAAACTGAAGATTATTGTCAAAGTAGCCAAAAACAATCTTTACCAAATTCTAAATACTAATCAATAATTAAACATGGCCACCCCAGCTAACTATTAAAAAGATTATGTTCAACCATCCTAAGACTCACTGAGATCAAATTTGTTGTGGAGTAGCTAAGAATGATACTATTCTGATAATCCCAAATTAAGCTAACCACTGATGCTAATTTTACGAACGGCTATAATTCAGACATTTTTAGCATGCACAGCTGAACATTTGTACAGTACAATAGTATCAAATAACAGTATTTAACAAAATCTAAATGCAAATACAAAATACCCACCTACTCGTTCATTATTTGGGTGACATCTGGATTGGCCAATATGGTTTCCAGGGTTGGCACTTTGCCACCCCTGCCACCCCTCTGGCTCCGCCCCTTGTATTTATTCCCTGGCCTTTGGCACAGCCTGTTTATTTCACTTCTGTTTGTTTTTGCTGATCCACCTGTTTTAACTGTTTTTATTTTGATGTTTAAATCTTTTTGATTTTTATGTACATAATTTTGTTGCAGCTGTGGTTGTTTTAAAAGTGCTTTATAAATAAATTAGTGGTAATATCTTATTTAGGAGAAACTACATTAGTCATTAGTTTGCCAAGTTTCAGTAGAAAATCAAGTCTTTGTACAGGAGGCCCCTGGTTCTGCAAAATGCTTTGTTGGTTTTCATCCAGCTGGACTGGGCTGCAGGCAGGACAGGTCAGGGAACACTCAGGTGGAAAACCTGCTGAATGTTGGTTAGTAGATGTATAAAAATGTACACTTTCACATTTGAGAGAGACTAAAAACACCAGCAGAAAACTTGAGCAGCTATCAAGTCATCATTAATATAATTTAAAAAAAAAACAACACCCGGTCAGCTCTCATATGTTCTTGTATTCCCACTTTTCTCACACTGACGTCATGTGTTTTGTTTCTCCACAGGAGCTCTCAGAATAGGAGATGAAGACATCATCCACACTGTCATTGATTTCTTGTCGTACCTCAAGCTTAAAGGTGCATTTCTTCTTTTTGATCCTTAATAAATCAGAATGTTTGATGCCATGAAATATTTGTTGTAAACAAGTATAAAAAAGAGAAATATAAAAGTAAGTTGTTACCTTTTACTACATAAACCAAAGACAATCCCTCTGCAGTTAATAGAAATCAGCTCTCAGGTTTTAATATTGTTACCGGTTTTCCACGGGTTCTTGAAATTCATGAAATGTTGTGAATTTGAAAAAACAAGTTCAAGGCCCTGGAAAATTTTTAAAAACAGCCATAAAATACACCCATCCTTGAAAGACCTTGAATGTTTTTTAGGTAAATTTCCTATGGATGATGACTTCTGTCAGAGTGCCATTAGTTTATGTTTGTTCTGCACTGCCTTCTTGTTTCCTGTATGGCGTCAACATAGTTAATGTGAATGTAGCAACCCCATCTCACGGCTTGATTACTGAATTGTTATGTTGAGTCAGTCATCGAGTCGGTGCTTCAAAAAATGGCCCATTTTGCATCACGTTTACTGCAAAGCTTCACGGCTTCAACAAACCCATTTAAAACCATAAACTAATCCAAACATTAGACTTTAATTTGTAATAAAAGAAAATGATGCTTTTTTGGGTCCTCATTTTCATCAGACACGTTGCAAAGAGACATTTTAATATTTGTGATTATAAATAAAAGAAAAAAGATGAAATATTCTTAAAGATAGACTGTTCTGATGTTGGTGTAATGTGTGCGTTTGTCAGGCCTGGACTGATCCAAACTGTTTGATGTGTGTTTGCTTCCAGAGATGGGAGCATTGGACACCCTGTCTCCTGCTGTCACATCAGATGAACTGACCAATCCCTGAAGAGTCTGCCTCTCTCCAACATGTTTCTGATTTCAAACCTAAAACTATTTTAGCTTCACTGACACTCTGATGTCCTCCCTATATATATA